ACACACACACACACACACACACACACACACACACACACACACCTGTAATTTGCATTTGGACCCGTGGGGAAGTGGCATTGTTCCCCACGATGCACGTTTGGTCTACACAAGGCTGCTTTTTGGGGAATATTGTCCCCACGATGTAGGAAAAACAAGGTCACACAGACACACACACAGGTTTGTTTTTATATCCCTGTGGGGACCATTGACTTCCATTCATTTTCTGGTAATTTTATAGCCTAACCGGGCTTTGGTCTCCATATTTAGTCCCTATGAGGCTGCGTTTTTTTGTTTGTTTTTTTTTTGTTCCTACGATGTAGCAAAAACGTGCCCACACAGTCACACACACACACACACACACACACACACACACACAAGTCTTCCTCTGTGTGAGGAAATGTTTTAACACTGACAGAGGAAAGCAGAAGTATTGCTGCAACAGGTTCTCTTTGTGTACCACAAAGGATCTAAACAGCACAGCAGAGAGGAACATTTCTATTGTTTCAGGCACATGAACCTGAACATTTTTCTTTTTAGAAATTCTAATTGGATCAACTCTTATAGTTAGCTTCAATCTACTGAGGGAAAGAAAACACAGACGGTATTTATCATGCTGCTGAAGGCCTCAGTCCTGACCCTGAGGCCTCGTGGGTCAGTCTGATCCACTACTGGACCCTGACATGTTTAGTATCAGCTTGTAGCCTGACCTGAAGGCTTCAATGAGCCGCTCCACTTTCTGGGCTTCACCCTGGACCCGGATGTGGTTCTGAAACTTCCTGAGGGCTTCATCCAGCTCCATGCTCTGGAACTCCATTTCATCTACCACACAACTGGAGCGCAAGGAGAGGAGATGGACAAAAAGTAAATTAGACTCAAATACAGCATTTTTATCACTTTTATTTTATTACTTTAACTTGGACAGTTTGATCCACAAGCAATGAGTATAAAATGTTTAGGTTTCTGGTTTTGTTTGTGCTTGCACACATCTGAACCAAATCCCACTTACTCCAGGACGTCTCTGTTGAACTGTTTCTGCCGATTGCCGAGAAACTCTCCGATCATCTGCCTGCTGAGTCCTTTTCTCTGAAGCAGAAAGTGGGCCACACCAACAGGCGTGTCGGGGATGAAGCCCCTCTCGGTCAGATACTGGATGCCCTTCTCTGGCTTCCTGTAAAATTCAACACACACCAGAAACAACACGCTCAGTTCCTGACGCCAAACTCAATCTGTAACTGATGACTACTCGAGGCAGATTGTTGGACGACTCGGTCATTTAGCTGAGCAGAATGATGCATTAGTCTCGCTCATCAGTCAGCTCGGAGCTAAACTTTCGTAAAGCCTTAAAACAAAACCGTTTCTTCAACTGTAATCAGTAATAAATCAATGTCATTTAACAGAGTTTATTTGAATTTATGTTGAGGCAAGATTTCTTTAGAAAGAAAATGAAAATAAAAAAAAGAGGTGGTGCCACTGAGATTAGTCTGAGAGAAAGGAACACAAATAGTGGTTACATGATGCACAGCAAGAGATTTACGGTCCTAATTTCCTCTTTTAGCTTTGAGAGAATCTTTATATTTGATGCCGACATAACTGAGTCAGTTAGGGGACAATCTTAAAAAAATCTTCTCCATCACATTACTGTAAACAGAAACCTGTTCAGCTGGGTACCTACTTGTTGAAAAGATTGAGGCCGATGCGGTAATGTCTCTTGCGGATAACGTCGTTGCTGAAGATGGGGGAGTCCCAGCTGTTGCGAGTCTCTTTGTGGTACGTTTGCTTACTCAGCGTCTGCTCTCGCAGGCTGTCTCTGGACGAGGACTCCGAGCTGCAGTTTATGGTGTCGTTGGAGTTCGACGTGCTGTTGAGGCTGTCGTTATCCCCGTCCGAGAAGTCCGACTCAGACTTGCTCTGTCGGTTGGCTGAGCCGTTGATGGCCAGGTGGCTCTCCAGCTGCCGGTGGCGATGGCGCAGGGGCGCGTCGTCGTCGCGGGGAGGAGCTCGTGGCGGCGGTCCGTGGGAAATGTGTTTGGGGCTGGCCTGGGATGACGTCAAGATGTGGCCGTGGGGCTCGTACGCGGGTGGCCGTTTGACAGAGCTGCGCTCGGACCGGTCGCTGAGTTCTGCAGAGCTGTCGCTGGGAGGTTCTATGGTCAGCAGAGGGAGGTGATCCATTCTAAGACGTTGCTCTTGGCACTCTAAAGACGGAGTGCTGCGGCAGCTCGTGTCCGTGTCACGGCCCTCGTCTTTAGACTCAATAGGCCAGTATTCTTGGGAGGAGTTTACCGACTGCAGCCGTATGTCTGATTCTGTACTGGATGGCTGGTCTCCTGACCTGGACAGAGCAGTGGAAGGGGACATGTCCTCCTCATCGATGAACAGTGTAACATCGCCATAAGACGCCATGGTTTCATCACGCATCCGTCCGGCTGCCCTGCGGTGAGACTTCACCTGATAAGGCACCTCCCCTTCCACCTTTGAGCAGGCCATGGCCTCGGGATCAGGACCCTCGTCCCCCTGAAGGCTGCGACAATTCAAGGCGTCATCAATGGACTCCGCCAGAGACTTGACCTGCCTGGAGAAGGCGTCCTCCAGCTCCGTGATGGTGTCCGTCAGGTCTCCCTGCGGCCCTGCGTGAGAAGTCCTGCTGGCCTGCTTGTGGACTTCCACGTCCCCACATTCAGACTGAACCATGGACAGCGGGGTGCCGTCCTCCGTCATGGACACCTGCCTCCCTTCGAAATACGAGCTGTGCACTTTCTCAGGGCCCTCGAATGACAGTTGCATCCTCATGTTGGAGAGAACAATGCGTCTGGACATGCGGTTCTCCGACATGGAGCTCCTGAGACGTTCAAAGTTCTTGTTCATCTGATACTGTCGGAAGGCTGTTTGGATGGTGCGAGCTGCATGCCGAGTTATGAATCTTCCTCCATATTTACGTTCCAGCATCTCCACCTGGCAAAAAGACGGCATATATGAGCTGTGGCTTCCATTAAGTGGTTTTCTTAGCTGTAGTTATCATCATGTTGCCTCTTTGACTACTGGGGGTGTAAATCACCAACATTATCTGAATACAATTTTGTATCTGTTTGGATGATGATATAATGTTTCTCTATCAAAGTCTGTCATTATATGATTTTGACTCAATTCAAATCACAAGTCTGCGATTGATATGATGCCATGTCATTTGCCATCTAACACAATAACTGAGTTAGATGGCAAATGACATAATCCACATCGGGCTTATGATGATGATATGGATCAACTGCTTTGTTTCACCTTCAAATAATTTAATTCTTAATCATTAAATCAATATATTGATGTATTGTTACACCCTACACAGATACAGATGATTTTTGAAGTAATTTAACTTTGCAGAAAAACTACAGTTTCATTACACAAAGAGATTTGACCAAACCTGTTTATCTTGAAGGTCAGCAGAGAGCTCATAACTCTCTGAGAGTGAGCGGGACCGCTTGATGGCCTCCTCCTCTGCCTGCTTACGAAGGATGGATTGCGAGTGCTGAAGCTTGGGCCGGCGGGGTCTCTGTGGGCCGGGTTGGACCCCGTGGCTATAAAGCTGGCTGTCGAATCGGTCGGGACTGATGGCCGAGCCGTGAGTCACCGGACCCTGGCCGTAGCTGGTTCTGCCATCCAAAGAAGGACCGCTCTCACCGGGCCGACCATCGCCTTCCACACTGCGACAAAAGCAGAAGACAAAATGATTATTTTAGCCAGTTTGACAGACTATTCAGTTCTGTTTTCTTCACAGCAAGATGTATCTTCAGGATCTTTATCTTTTACAAACAGGTATAACATTACAGTAATAAGTAGAACACTGTGTGTAAATGATTTAGATGTTGCAATTTAAGGCCAAACAAAATGGACTAGGAGTCATTTTCTATTAAAACAAACTGACACATGACAAACATAAAATGCCACGTAAATACTCTGACAAATCAAACGCCCGCTGTCTCAGAATAATAATAATTCATCCACAGGTGAAAACAGGAGGTACTCACACATGCTCCTGTTCTGCAGACCTACTGGGGGACTGCTTATTGCGAGCAGACCGTCTATTTTCTATAAAGTGCCAACTCTTCCTCCATATCTTGTCCACCATTCTTTCAGTCAAGTGGAGTCCAGAGTACGCTGCCTCCTCCAGGAAACCAAAGTTTATGCCAAGTTAAAAGGCCAATCAGAGACCACTGGGGAATTACATCATGTTTGAGGGAGCAACGACACGCTGTTCCAGTTCAGTATACAAAGTCCAGTTTAGAGCAGAATAGCAGAATAAATACAACTTCATTGATCCCTTAAAAAGAAAAAAATAAATAAAAAGAAGAAAAGCCGAGATGGAGCAGAGCAAGGTGCCGATCGGCTCAGTCAAAAACATCCACCTAATGTTCCTCCTCTACGGCACGGTGCACACGCAGCTCACTAATGTGCTTGAACTGTGACACGACACACCCATGCAGTGTACACAATCTACTTCCTTCATTAGACAGCACAGAAAGGAACATCCAGAAACAAACTGCCAGACTAAAGCAACAGACCCAGAGTCACTAAAGGGGAAACTGAGTTCAAACAGCTGATGAATGAGGTGAAAACTCTACAAGTATAAATTCATCAGTTTTACTTAGAAAAACACAGCTGTTCACTAAGAGAGAATTTATTGATTTGAAGAACCACGCAGCATTGAATGTGTGTAAAATAAAAACAAGGCCTAATTATAAAAGTGACCATGTGACATTTACTGACATTTTTATTAACTTATAAAACTGTTGTATAAAGCTATAAAATTTATCCTGTTGCCAAGAAAAGTCAGCTATTTTGTAAATGCCTGTCTGTTAGCGAAATATTTCATGAACCACTGCATGGATTTTAATGAAACGCTCAGGAAGTAATTATTGGATGTATGGCTACAGTTGATAATTTTTGAGACTCACTCCAACTTGATATGGCCACCACAGCTAACTGATCTTGGCAAACACAAAAATGGGTATAACTCAGTCAGGTTTGTCTGTATGGAGCAAAATTTTTGTGTGGTAGTAGCTGAGAATTATCTCCAACACAAATGTTGAGATTGCCAAATATCTTTGCTTAAAACTTTGACATGCAAGGCAGCTGGCAAAACCGTACATTTCTTTAAGAAATTTATCTTCATACTTTCTTTTTCCACTATTTATATCTTGAACTCTGCTATAGATTAGTGACAAAAAACAAAACAAAACAAAAAAATTTAACCCAAGTCACCGGCCAACTGATTTTAAATAAGCATGTCTTGACACCAACATCATGGATATGCTTGCAGAGCAGAACACCACAACATTCTTGGGAGCACTTTATGGTTTCAAGCTAAACAAAAGGAGAGGGAAAAACTAACAAAAACCTAAAACAGGAATAAAACGCACAAGAATATGCTGCTGTAATTGTAGGACAACTTAGTCTTTGTTTTATGATCGTTAACTCTGACAGCCGTAATTCTATTGTTTGGATTAAATTTTACCATAAAATATAACTTTTTCAGTCAGCTTCCAGCACAGCTTTACATTGTGGAAGAGCAGCCGATTGTTTCTACCAAATACATGTCTCTGTTTTAGCTGTCACATGTGCCAAAACCACAAGGACAAACAAGAATATCAGAGGAACCGATTCACAAACTTTCACTGGGTGGAAGGTATACTTGGATACTGTGTATACATGGCTTGTTTACCTGTGGTTCAGTACATAGAGTACAAGCTCACACCTATGTTCCCTGTTACCCGTGGTCCTTCGTACCTATGTTCCCCATATCCCTATGTTCCTCTGTACCTATGTTCCCCATTTCCCTATGCTCCCCATATTCCTACGTTCCTCTGTACCTTATGTTCCCCATATCCCTATGTTCCTCTGTACCTATCCCCATATTCCTATGTTCCTCTGTACCTGTTCCCCATTTCCCTATGTTCCCCATTTCCCTATGTTCTTCTGCACCTATGTTCCCCATATCCCTATGTTCCCCATATTCCTATGTTCCTCTGTACCTTATGTTCCCCATATCCCTATGTTCCTCTGTACCTATGTTCCCCTTATCCCTATGTTCCTCCGTACCCATGTTCCCCATTTCCCTATGTTCCTCTGTACCTGTTCCCCATTTCCCTATGTTCTCCATTTCCCTATGTTCTTCTGTACCTATGTTCCCCATATCCCTATGTTCCTCTGTACCTATGTTCCCCATATCCCTATGTTCCTCTGTACCTATGTTCCCCATATCCCTATGTTCCCCATATTCCTATGTTCCCCATATTCCTATGTTCCTCTGTATCTATGTTCTCCATATCCCTATGTTCCTCTGTACCTATGTTCCTCTGTACCCATGTTCCCCATATCCCTATGTTCCTCTGTACCTATGTTCCCCATATCCCTATGTTCCCCTGTACCTAAGTTCCCTGTTCCCCATGTTCCTTGGTACCTATGTTACCCATTTCACTATGTTCCTCGGTATGTTCTCCTGGCTTCCTCTTCAAATGTCTTAAAATTTGGAACCCAATTTTCCCATTTTTCTATGTTCCTTGGTAACTATGTTCCTCCATTTTCCTATGTCCCACGGTACATATGTTCTCCTGGGGTTTTAATGCTTGGCTCCCTCTTCAATGTCTTAAAATGAATGAAATAAATACTGAATTACAGATCAGGCATTGTACTTGGGAACATAGGGATGACCCTCAGAAGGCTTATTCTGCTGGAACAACACCAGAACAAACACAACTCTCTGAAAATCCTACCTGATTGTATAAACACCACTGGGATAAATCTCCTTAAACCATCTGTCACACAAATTGTGGAGCAGCTATCCGTCGAGCTCAGAGTCACACCTTGCCTGCTGTCGTGGAGCCAGAATACAGCTGGGAGTCATTTCTGCTTTGAGAAATTTCCTCAAAAGAAGTTCAATTAGTGACTAAAATGAGACCCTGAATCGAGGTTTTCAATACAGCATTCATAATAATTCACCTTTTCCATTCAGTCAAGCTAACACCAAAGACTAATGTGATCAGTTTTACTCTCACTCCATGAATTCCTAATGAACACTTAGAGCTAAATGTTAAATTACTTCTTCAGTTTTATATCCAGCATCACCACAAAATCTTCCATCGGTCATTTTTACGTACAAATATCTTTAGTAAATGGTTAACTCATACTAACAGTGGTCTGTTTCCCTTCAGTGTTGAAGGGCAATATTTTAAATTACTAAACATTTGGTTTGAATTTATTTAATACTACAACAAACTAAGTATAATAAGAATTACTAAGAGTAGCAACATATTGGTTTGGTAAAAACAGGCCACCTCTGGGTATGTTGTTTTTCCTAATCAAGCCTAAAAAACATTGGAGGCACCAAGTCAGAGCTAAAGTAAAAAAGCTGGTATTGGTTTTCCCCCAGCGGGACCCGTGGACCAGAACCTTTGTTCACCTTTGCTCATTTTTAGAGCTTATTTTTTGCCTCGCATTCACCCAAGTATCCAGACTGTGTGTGTGAGACGGCCGGTTGGTGAAAGGAAGACAGCAGCTGTAGTTTCTTCTCTGAGGTCACTGAAATATTTGGCTAAAAGGTTGACGGAGAAAAGAGGGGAGAACAAAAATGTCAGAGATGATATTTTAGGCAGCAGTGCATTCTGGACGGGAGGAAACAGGGAAAGCTCAAGCAAAGCAGGACAACATCGGCAAGGGACAAAACGTTTCAATGTTCCCAACAAACAAGTGCTATTGTTAAAATGAACAGTTTTGTAAAGAATGCTTATTTTAAGTAAACTTTACTTAGATTTGAGGGAGGATGCAGTTATATACTCCTGAGACCACCTCCTGATTAGGACTACACAGCCCTTGAAATCTGATCCTTCAGCCTCAGCAGTGACCGTCCCCTCTCCGGTCTGGCTCCACATCCAGCTGCTCCCCATGTAGACCCCATGTAGCACGTCACCACGGCTGGCAGTCATTTTCAGATTCAAGGATTTGTAGGGGTAGGTGGAGTGGGGGGCATCATCTCCCTCCACCCCCCACTCATCCCCACTAACACATCCTGAGCAAACAGGACCCCTGCCCAGGCCTCAACCCGTTCCATCAGTCGGACCTGAGGGAGAAACATTCCGACATCCTGGAAAAGAGGAGTCACATCTACGGCAGTTCTGGGAACAGAGGAGCGCTAATGAAGTGCAGACTGAGCTGGGCTGCAGCGTGGAACTGATGGAACAAAAGACACAAAGACATCTACGGACCAGAACTGCTGGAAAAGAGAACACACGTTCTGCATATCCCTTTTTTACAAGTGTTTAGAGCTGAAACAAATGGAAGCACTTTATTTTTTAGGACCAAAGATGGAAAAAGTGAAAATTGCCCTAAATATGATTTATTTATTTATTTTGGTCAAAACTGACCTTCTGTACCAACATAATAAAGCTTGATTGGTGTTAATATGAGGTAATGATAGATTTTAAAGAAGAAAGAGGGGGTTTAAGAAAACCAGAGCTACAACTATGATGCAAAATGTTTACAGTAAATTTATAATTGCCCCCCCCCCCCCCCCCCATATTCACCTTACAGCACATAAGAGCTGCTTTTTATGTATGTGTAAACACCGGCAGTAAAGTGACCCCTCCAATAAAACTCAAACAGCACCTCCGTATCACGCCGCTCGCCCCACACGCTCCGACATTTGCTC